CGACACAGTTGGAATCTAAGGCCTGTCCAGGTCTCCATTTACATATTGTTTGTAAATAAGATAAGTTTATTTCTTTGACTAAGTGTCAATCTAGTGTGGTCGTAGTGTAGGGAGTTGACAAGGGAAACGTTACTTGACAAGGGTTACATTACCAGTACAGGTCTCCTAGAATTAGGTACGTGAATACAGTAACACCTAGCAGGGGTGGAAATAACCCATTGCACGATGTCCGAGTCCAGTGGTTTTTTTCTGTCGGCAAGCAAATTTGTATATCACACTGTACCGGTGTCCAGTTGACTTTCCAATGTTAATTATGTTGTTTATTTAAAAAATCAACAAGAAAACGGACAGTACAGTGGAAAAATTATCAGGGCAAGTGACTTTACATGTGCCACTGTACTGGAGTACACTAGCAATTTTAAAGTTATTTCCACCCCTGACCTAGCTTTGATGTACAATTTTAGTCAGCGACATAAAAATTCTAGTACGCCCTAAAATATGTGTACAATCCATAGCTGGTAAGAATTACAATACCAATTTCACCTGTTTATTGTGAACGTCAGCTTACATTCTTAACATATATCCTTATTTCTAAGTTGCTGCATGATCACACAAAGGCACTAATGCTTGTATATTATGTGTCTGGCTTGCCTGCTAAGGTACGTTATGATCGCTTTCGACACACATTGCTTAGGTGGACTTGTCTTTTTGTTGTCAATACATTCTTTCCAGGTTAATTTTACTGTGAAAACGTGCCAGTACAACCTGTTATTGAAATATGCAACATAATGTTTATGTATCCATCACCTAGTGAATTTGTATTGTTTTCAAGTTTGTGTTTGACAAACATTTGCTTTCACACACAACAACAATGTTTGAACACTTGCAGTATTCCTAAGCTTTATGTACCATACTACTTCTCTAATCACTGTGGTACATGTAGTTTGTCATGTTTTCTTAGGCTTAACTTCATCAACCTAAGTGCATGCAGATTTGTGTCATGTATGTAAAATCATGACAGTCATCAGAGATATACCGTATTTATTCAGACCAGTTTAATCATCTCTGTTTCAACAATGCAACTGTTTTTCTTCGGGGCAACTAGCTTTTAATGTCGACATGCACCTGGTGCAAGCTAAGTCAAGTTCCTTAAATCAAGCTATGCTTTCAAAAGTCTTTTCAAAGGTGTTGAGAATTGGGCATCTGAATCCAATACTGGTCCTATAGTCTCCATGTTATTTTTCCTTCCATCTTCTTGTATTGCTATAGCCCAATGAAGCATGTCATGATTTTCAACAGATTGATTAATCGTCCATGGGGTTCATTTTCATTAATTTGGAATTGTTTGTTTCTATCCAAATTGTTATTTTAGAGATTATGGGTTCTCATGATGTGAGTCTCCACTGAAAACATTCACACGTTCCAGTGAAAGGTTAGGTTGTCGCCAGAGGCAATCTACCCTGTGTTATTGTTGAGAATATCTTTGGGGCAAATTGATAATGTCATAATGTTTTAACAGCTTGCCTATATGGAACAATACTTCAATGCTGTGAAAAGATGCCTTCAGTGATATTTTCAAAATATGTACGAAGACAGCTTTAGGTGTTCAGTTAAAAATCCTAGCAATAATGTCAGTCACAAGGCCGACAGTCTGTGTCACCAACTGTTTAGCCGACTAACCTGAATATAACCATGATAACATTTTGGATCATTTTCAGAAGATTTTGACTATTTGAACGATTATAAGATTACATCACTAGACCAAACAGAATGTTACTTGACTTCTGTTTTGGAAGAGTGTCAGATAGGCCAGTAACTTGGAAACTATAAACAAAAACACATCATAATCATGATATTTATTGTTACGATTATTCACAATTTTTACTCAACAGAGCCATACACACTACCCAGAAATGCTCCCGTACAGGGTGCATTGTAACAAAGAAAATGGTAGCAATAGCCCCATGATCTTAATGATTTTTTAAATTTAAGGAGGGTTTTTGTCCCGTGAGTGTACGCACCTCTGTTGACTTAAGGGGGTGAACTATGTTTAGTTTACACCATCCCCTGCCTCTGTATCATCTTTCAAGTTACAGACAAGAAAATGTGTATTCCCCAGCCCCCCTTGGCAATGATTGCGTGTGTAATCTTGGCTGGTATCTTGTTGTAAGACCTCCTTACAGTGTTATCTGTTGAGCAGAATGTGAGCCAAGCTATCAGCACTGGGCAGCCACTCCCAGTAACTTAGCACATGTACAGTAATCCAAGTGAAAGAGAAATTCAAATCAGGACTAACTGTCCATTCAACAGGAACATGATGGAAGAACTCCAGTACAGCTGTCATTGATTGGAAATTTTAGTATACATATGTGGATCAATAAAATATTTAATTAGTCTGTGTGGGTGTATGGATAAAAAATTGCTTACATAGGTGCAAAGTTAGTTCTAAATATAAACTTGGTCGATTTTAATTCTAAAATAAAATTTTCTGCCTTCCTATTGTCCATTGATGGTGGGGCAGTGGGGTAGCCGTGTGGTTAAAGTGTTCGCTCGTCACGCAGAAGGCCCTGGTTCAATTCCCCACATGGGTACAATGTGTGAAGCCCATTTCTGGTGTCCCTTGCCATGATATTGCTGGAATATTGTTAAAAGCTGCATAACTCTCACTCACTCTCATACATGTACAAGGAAGCAAATACATGTAGTTTATTTAGTTTTATGTAATTGTATCAATATAGTACTGACGTGAAAAAATTAATGATGCATCAGTTTGGGGATATATAATAACATTTTAGCATGAATTTGTGCAGCTGTTGTCTCAAGTATATGAACTGCAATTCTGTTTCATTTGTCATTTGTGATGTTTTGTATTCAAGACTGAACATTGAAGACCCACATCGAGTTGAGTGATTTTATGTCACTTTGCGAAAATGTCCGCCAATATTATGTTCGTATACAAAAAAAGACTTTGCAAACTGAACCCATGTTGGGAATCAAACCTGGGCCTTTGTAGTCATGAGGAATTGATTTCTGCACTATACTGTGCCGCCATGTTGAAACAGGATGAAGATGAAGGTTGCTCTGATCAGACAGAATCACACACTTGTCGGCCATGATCTATTTCGACCTGAATTACAGCCAATTTCTCTGTTAGCATTTACTCATGCTCAACCTTTAATGACTGATACAGGAAGTATGTAGTTTGGTGCAGGGTCTGATTTGAGATATTTTAACTTTTAACCCCTCACATACACATGTTGCTTACAAAGTCCACATTTAAAATGGAAGTGAAAGTACATTCACGTGTGTACATATTACTGTATTCAAGGTGTCTAGTTGAAATGTTGAAGTGAAGTGGAAAGCTGTAATCTACAGAGTTCAGATTTCAAGAGATGCTGATCCTATGCAAGTGGATGTTTTCTAATCCTTTTTCATGTAGACATCGCAAAATGTTTGAGGACAGTTAAAAGCTATTGGTCTGCTAACCAGTATTCAGAAACCTGATTGTTGTACAATTCTGTTTGGTCTTACAAGCTCACTTAATAAGAGCTACTACTAAATAGTGAAACTAAGATACTCTGAAAATGTTGCTAAGAGTTTTGTAAGTATAGTTAGTAAGTATATACTCAGTGTGGAAAAGGTTGCTGTTCATAATATAGGACTAGTCTTTTTCCTGAAAATACAGCTGTTTGTCTACATGCACAACCTGCACAGACTGGTTGATGTAAGTTAATTGAAGGTACCTATTGTGACCAGTCTGCAATTGTAGTATCTGGTCCATAGTCTGAGTTCAGTAAAAACTCCTCAGTCTAGTAAGATCTACATATTGCACAGCCTATTGAAAATAATCCCCAGGTACTAGTCTGATTATGTAGACTCTTGGCACCGACTTGATAACTATGCATTGTAATATGATGCATTTATGTATGTTGCTTAGACTAAGAGTAGCGCCAAAGTATTTATGTATCAGATGGCAACTGCAAGAGGAATGCCTGTTCATATGATTAAATTAGACTCCGTGCTTATGTCTAAGATAAATGCTGTGAGCTAAGATGTATTTTTTGTAGAATGTCATCCAGCCAGCAGCACTTGTTACTCACAAGTTTAAAGTTGAGATGTACTTTAAATAACGTAGTACACTTGGCCGATACTGGAGAATGAGTGGATGGCTCCAGTGTTGCAGATTCCTGGCCCCCCCACATGCAGACAGAAAATGTAACATGTGTCTGCAGTAGATAAGGGGAGATATCGCAACAGAACAGCTGGCTAGTACCACATGCCCTCGGCCTCTACTTGCCTGGAATTAAGTTCGTCTGTGGTTAGAAATTGCCAAGTGTTGGAGTGAATCATTGCTGCAGTGAAGAAGTATAGTTCTGACATGATTAAGCAGGGAATGAAATTATCACTAGTTTGGCCAGTTTGCCAGATGTTAAACCCAACTCGTGGAGTTTGTAATATTTAAAACAGTGTGTTTTGTATGTTGACATTATGAATATCAATAAATAATTTTAAAATGAATTTTCAGATTAATTTCTACTCAACATGCCTATTGTCTTTTATATGTGTCAGTTATACTCGTCAAGAACATCATAGTTTGTTATGTAATTTGAATGACTCATATCAGTTTTTGAAATTAAGGGGATTGCTTACAGATTTCTATCATTTTATTGAATTTGAATCTAGAGACCCCCTAAATTTGCATCTTAGAACACTATGTCCATCACTTTGATTTTATGCTTAGTTTGCAATGATACTAAGTATGTGGTATAAAGTTTCTGAATATGCCATTTTTCTGTAGAGTCTAGTATTTGGATTAGGTAATGGTAATTATTAATTAAGTGCTGATCATTAACCTTTGTTTCATTTGGTAGGACCCTGAAATATTCTGTTGTGACCCTTTGACATGTTCCGTTTCTGCAGTTATCTTCAAGAATTTCCTGGAAGGAAGAAAATGTAGAGTTATTGTGCCGTTTTGATAACAAGGTCTTCCATTATTCCAGGTGAAGATGGACACAAGGCAGAACTTGGTGCCAACTGGATCCATGGGATTGAGCGGAATCCCATCTATCAGATAGCAGACCAGAACCATCTCCTGCAGCTCCGCAACAAAGACAAGAGTCTTCGTCGCAGAGACCTGTTCTACAGTGAGGACGGAGAGATGATCAACGAGAAGATGGTCAAGGAAGTGGACTTCACCTACGGAATGCTTATCCAGCAGTGTGAGGACTACTTCCAATCCAACATGCCCACCCCGGAGGAGAATGATAGTGTGGGTGCATTCCTGGATCGTGAGTTTCAAGAAAAGCTCAACAAATACTCCAATGGAGACAGACTTGTGCGGGAATCAATATTCAACCAGAGGACTTTGCTGGAGTGCTGCATCAGTGGGTGTGACCGCTTGGAGGAAGTATCGCTGGGAGAGTTTGGGTGTTATGAAGAACTCCCTGGCATCCATTACACTATTCCTCCTGGATTTGAAACTGTGCTTGAAATCCTCAAGAAAAATATCCCCAAAGAAAACATCCTCCTCAACACCCCTGTAAAGACTGTGCATTGGGACATGCAGGATAAGTCACGCGGGGAGGTGTGTGTTGAATGTGAAAATGGTGAAAAGTTCTATGCAAATCATGTTATTTCCACTGTGTCGCTAGGTGTACTAAAAGCAGCATGTGATAGGATGTTCAACCCTTCTTTGACGGAGGAAAAGCTGCATGCTATTGACAATCTAGGCTTTGGAATAGTGGACAAGGTGATTCTGGAGTTCGATAAACCCATTGTGGATGACGATGTCTTTAGGATAGAGCTTCTCTGGGATAAGTTAAAAGACCCAATGCGAGAATTACGGAAAACATGGTACCGCAAAATATATTCCTTCGAGGTGGTTCATGAAAACATTCTTGTGGGTAAGTATAAATCAAGTGGATTTCCCTTTTAGAATTTCAGCTCCTGCTTTCTGTAGAGTCCAGCATTGCTTGTACCATGGTGTACTGCTGTTGTCCTTTATGCTTTGCTTATTTGGTGTATTCCATGGTTGAAGAAAGGTAAATACAGGATACACGGATAGCAGTCTGCAACAATATTGACGGCCTTTTTCTAGTAAACTTCTTTGTGTCTTGTTGTCTCAGCTTATGACTGTCCTCATATTAACAACAAAATCTGCGAAAATGTTGCCAATAGAAGAGTACCAGTTATATTTTTTATAATGAAAGCAAAGTCTTTTGGCACAGACAGTTAGAAAATTGGGCAATCAGCCAATCTGTATCTCCTTTCACATGCTACAGGGAGTTCTGATTATTGTCTTACAACGCCATACTATAGATTTAACTAATTAGTAATTGCATCTAATTGGTAGGTGATTATGCTATTACCAATGTAACCAGGGCTCAATCATTGAGTTGTGTCGAAATCTAGTACATTTACTGTCTGTAGGTGTTGGGGAATTTGGGACAAAGATACTTACCCCTCTTCAAATGGGGGTAAATGTAGCCCAGCCCAGCCCAGCCACCAAAGGTGCCACAATTTGGCAAGCAGAGTTGCATCACTTGAGACATGCTAGAAACCTGTTATTGTGTGTTCGAATGGCAGATTGCACTAATTAGATAGGTGCTTGTTTTCATCAAAATGGTAAATGTTTATCAGTCAACAGTATCAGTTGGGGCTTCGCCCATCCTCGTGCAATACTGTTTAAGCAGAGTTGTACCAATCTCACTCACTTATTGAAAACCTGTGTGAAGTTTTTCTGGGATTATTGAAAACTTCACTTAGTTTCTGTCCTAAAGATGAGGAGGCAGTCCCTAAGCTTGTATAATTCCGCACAGATTGGTAAAATGGATCCATAAATTGTATCAATGGAATTCATTGTATGAATCCCTTGTGTACCACATGTGTGACAGTACATCACCCAGGGCTGCATGGAGGCAACAATATGTTTACTTATACTAAACCATCTGTTCTGCTGATCAGCTCAGTCCTCTATTTGATGATAACCACGTTCTTCACTGTCCTTCATTTTGCTTCTAATCACTCATCTCACTGGTTTCAGTGAAGACTTGGAGAATGGGTTGTTGCTGCTTCTGTACAAACAAAATATGACAAATCAAAGCTCTTCATCCTCTGATGATTTTACGTCATAGTCTTTCAATAAACACTCATTTGCCTCATGGATGCTCAGAATACACTAACACATTTGGGCAGTTTCTGTTGCACTATTTTAGTGCTGTGATGCAAAGCCACTAGTTGTAATCTGAAGTCTACTAAATTTGCTTTTGATCTCCACATGATCAAGGCAGCCTAATCTGGAAGATTAAGGGCATGCTAGAACTCAAAATTATGCCAGAAGGCTAGTTTCTGGTAAACAGATTCCAAAGAATTTTTACTTAGACAAGTTTGATGTAATGAAAATATGATTAAGCGTCATCTTCTTAAACCAACATGATTCATAAATGACTCATGATTCAAAATGCCCCTTGTCTGTGTTTATTCAGCCAACTAAACATGTATTTGATGATTCTACTCATACAAATGACTGACTGACCCTTGTTTCTTTAGCAATTTATTCAGTGGGGGAACAGAAAAACATGTATTTGATTGATTGTATAGCGCTTTAACCACAGGCTACCCCACCGCCCTACAACTTATGAAAAAGAAAGGCTGAACATGATGAATGGATTAGTCTTCAGTTAAGATTGAAGAATGAACTTTTTATGAATTTAAACATTTACTGAGCAATATCAGTCCTCTACTCTTACTTGTCCTGAATATTTCATCTGATGACAGTTATATTTAGTGGTGTTCCGATGATCGAAAATAATCGAAAACCGATCGAAAGAAGGATTAAAAATGATTATCGATTGTAGAAAAACATATTTTGGATTAATTGGAATTTTGTTGTTTTTGTTTAACACACTTGAATGAAGTAAACTAGCGATTAAATTTGATGAATATTCACGAACAAACATGCGCTCAACAGCGTAAAGCTAAGCGCATTGTAAAATTTTAACTACTTTTATTGTTATGCATGCATTTCATTGCATGATAGTATTAGATATAAGAAACATTTATTAGAAAAAACCTGGTGAAAAACCCTTCAAATTGGTGATTTCATTAAAAATGTATATATTATGATTATAATCGATAATCGTTCACCACAATCCTCCGATAATCGATAGTGGGTTTGGTTTCCGATTCCCAACACTAGTTATAATGTAGATTTAGTGAGTAGAGAGAGAGGTAGCTCAAACCAGACTTAACTAAAACCACTAGTCAAAACCCAAGTCTAGTAGAATACTAGTCTGGAAAGCCGATATTGAAAGTTAAACTATTTAAAGTGATGCCAAAGGACAGGATCAAGCAAGTGACTCCAAAGTTCTGTTACATTTCAATTCAGTTCTCTTGACAAATACAGTGCCACCATGATTCAAAGACAATGACTGATTGAATTGAATGTCTTGAACACAGAATTACTCTTAATTCACTGCCTTGCACGCTGATCTTGCTGACTTTTGCACTTTGTTTTGCTCAGATGACCTTATATTGCTATGTGTGCTGTCAGAGATTTGCCAACATGTCTACCATGTCAACACAGATCTGTGTGTATCCTATTATGGTCTGTGATGTGATGTTGTACAAGGCCACTGTTTCCCTACCCTCACTCCTTGTACTTGTCTGTGAAGACAGGCTTCAATAGGACATACAATACCACTCTTTGTGAAGACTGACAACCCTTCCCCAGAAGGCAGTTCCAGGTGAACCCTAAGTGAACTTTGACTGCCCTGTCTAAACGAAGAACACATTCTTGAGCCACTCAGGTGTCACCTTTCTCAGATGATTTGGCTTCATTCCTTTTCCATTTAGAAATTTTGAAGTTTGATTTCTACAAATATAACCCACAAAGTAGTCATATGTTTCTCTGGTACTCCCTTTTGAGTGCAGACACTTGCAGACTATGGATGTATTAAATATCCACCATGTAATTTCACATCCTTGATATTCATATTCGGAACTGGCTGTGCAAATTTGATTTTGACAAACAGTAATCAGACCAGCTGTTCACTCACACATACAGAGAATTTGGAAACCATTGACTAATTCAAAAGTTCACCTGATGTGATCTGCTAAGGAGCGGTGGTCAGATCTGCTCACAGAGAAGTATAGTATCAGATAAAGATTTTAATTTGATATACAGAGACATAGATTGGTCAGCCAAATCAGAAATATTAAGATTCATCACAATCTGTTGATCATCTTCAACATCATTTAATGTCACTTAGCTAATCTAGTTTCACATTTTCAATCAGGTAGGTCATCATTGATTCCAGAAATCGTTAATTTGGAAAATACTTGGAATGATTTTGTGTTGCAAGTGATGTAGGGATCATCATGTCCATCATGAATATGCATGCGACTGTTGGATAAACTTTAAGGATTATTTCAAACAGATGAGAGCAATGGGCCTCTCTATTAGTCTCAAGTCGCTTACACTGACCAGTCTATATGGTCAAATTCAATAATGCTGGTCAAATTTGCTTTTAGAGGTAAATGTGACTATTAGATCTTTGTTAGACTATTAGAGTTTTTGTTTCAGCATTATTTTTCCACCAGCTTCTAGAAAAGAGCTGTTTATCATTTTTTGTAGATGCTATTTACTGGTAGTCTTAATAGTTTACTAGAAATATTAAGGCAAACTATTGCCGTGCTTTTCAATAGATAACTTTTGGTATGTTTAAAAGGAAATTTCATGTTATGATTAAAAATAAGGCAAATCAGGTTCCATTCCTGTTTTGATTACAGTGTTCATTCAGTATGCAAAAACATTTAGGCTTGTCTTTGGCACCATAAGTGACAGTATTGCAGGGTTTTGTGAATGAACGGGGTAGGTTCAAGGTAGAAATGATAGCAACAGTTGTTCTTGAAACAAAGCGAGAGCTGGTTCAGAAAGATGCCAGAGCTGTCATTGGCATGGTTAGCTGTCGGAATTTGTTTGGCTTGCTATTTGAAGTAAATCAGAATTAAAACTCAGAAACATTTGCCTCCCATCGCTGATTGTCCAATATGTGGCAATTATACCTAAGCAAATTGCACAGCCAATCAGCTACCCTGATTAATATACCAGCTAATGAAGTGGGCACATACTTAGATGTTCCTTTGAAGCTGTGCAGTAAAGCACTTCACAGTGAAATCTTAAAGGTCTTTGTTAATGACAGAGGTATGTAGTGGGACAGAGCTTGCCCACTAGGATCGTTGGGGTAGTCTAGTGGTTAAAGCGTTGCTCATCACGCCAAGGATCCGGGTTCGATTGAAGCCCAGCACTGACATTGGAGATGGGTACATTTTATAGTGTGAAGCCCAGCACTGACAATTGGAGATGTAATGTTTATAGTGCATTTTATGTTTGTGGTATGAATTTTCTCGTTCTGGAAACTATATATCTAACTGTTGCATGTAGGTAATAAGTTTTGTGAAATTGATGTTGCAGTGTCCTGCTCGTATTCTCATCAATCTCAACATGTTGAATGAACACTGTTTAATGTTATTTAACATTTTTTTGTCTTAAAGAAGTTTCCGTGACCATTATCATGATCAAATTTGAAATCATAAATTTATCAAGATCATTAAAAATTCCAACGAGTACAGAAACTGGATTATAATGTGTGCATATGTTGTATATCAGAAATTGTTGATACGGTTTATATTTATCTTTCTGGTTCCTTGACCATATTTTCCTTGTTGAAAAGCATCAACTGGAAACGGATTTAATTGATTTTTTTCTTCTCAGAAAGTGACAACGAATTAGGACGAATAGAGACAAACAGATTCTTTATCATGGGTATGTTCACCATTTTAGCTTTTTGCCCAGCAACCAAGACCACAAACTGCCAATCAACACCCTTGTTCCACTGCAAACATTCAATCAAATTCACCATCATTATTGTCATTCTCAAGTAGTCATTAGCATTTTTCTACATGATCAATATATTCCTGTACAACCATATGGAACATCGTGATGGTTTGATGCAGATCTGCCCAAACAGGACAAAACCAAGCTAGTCAAATTTGTCAACCAGTTCATTGTCAATAAGCTTGTGCGATGCCATTGTAAGTCAATATATGCTGCTGTTTACATATTTAGACTTGTTTGCTATTCATGAAGTAGTTCCACTAAGTGTATATGCTTCAGGAAGTTGTCCCTTGTGAAAAGACAAGGAGTTCGCCATTGTCAGACAAGGTTTTCTTTTGTCTGGATGATGGCCATGTTTAATAATGTGTAATATCCTGGAATATAGTGTATCTGGATAACTTGCAATTTGTGACTTTTTCCTATTTCTTGTATAACTTGTTTTGATTCTTACTATCTTAGATCAAAATAAATTATTAGATTTTCACATAAATCTTTCAATCAGGTGACCTTAACAAAGCTTGAACTGACTATCTGGGCTTCCTAGATTCCAAAACTTGAAGAGCAGGCCTCAAGAACATGATTGAAATATCATGCTTATTTTGTTTTGGCCATGCGTTGATGTGCTTCAGTATCCAATCCCTTCCATGTTCTGCCATGCTTCTACCACACTATCCTATCATTGCACTTGCACCTGTTACAGAAATCACTTTTGCAGAGAATATACATGTAAACACGAAGTATGTGTTTCAAAGGGTGTTCTGCCTCAGGGAAATCATTGGAATGTAGGCGGAAAACATGGTAGACAAGATGTTTAAAACACCTGTATAATATGCTATGAGACAAGTTTGAAAAAATGATAATATTGCTGAAGAGGCAGTTCCTGGTTGTGATGACATGAAAAGGCAAATGTCATGACATGACGCGAGAAGTAATATTCTGCTACTCACTCTCAATTCTGTTTGAGTTTATTTTTTCCATGATCATGTAAACTGTACATGTTGAATGAAGTGAATATTATAAGTGCTGTTTTTCATTTAAGAAATTTGAAATTTGCTCCTTGTGAAGTTGCCGCAAATCATGTGTTGATGTAAATATTGAGATGAACAGTCATATTTTCAGTTTTCCCTGTGTCAGCAACAGAAATTAACTTGGAAAGTTTCCCTGCAAGAATACTGATTACGAACGAGAACTGCTCTGAAATCCTGAAATTACTAAACCTTTGGATTCCTACCATAAATTGAAATGATTCGGCATGAGTAATTTTCTGTTCCTGAGAATGATTCATATGTCAGCCCCTCCACTAATGTAGAGATTTACCAGATACACAATATTGCACCAATAAACTACATCCTAAAAGAAAATTGAAAATGACTATAGAAAGTCGTATACGTTATGTGTTCCTTTTCATGACATGTTTCTTTACTTCATCTGCAGAGTTTTCCCTTCACAGATACATTATGTTTCATTTGTTATTGGTACAATTGTCCCCCTGGGACCCTTGTGTATCATATATGATATCCCCCCAAAATCACTACTGAGAGTCCCTTGAACTGAGAGTCCCTTCACAAGGACTCCAGTTTGGAACAGGTCGCCTCTACCCAATGCTGTATGCAAGAGGCATCTTCATAGATTATGTGGCTTATTTGGTGACTGGTTGATAGTCTGTCATTAGTGTTGGAGCGATTGATCAAATAATCAGTCAGTCGATCAATCTCAGAACAACAGATGTAGTCAAACTGCAATATATACCCTACATGGATTACCCAACTGAAAGTATCCAAGATTGTCTTCATCGTGTTATAACATGTTGAGTGTTTCGTTTGCACAATCTTCTGGTGGGGTTTACGATTACAATCGATTATTGATCAGGTACTGACCTCTGATTATCAATCTGTATATAGTGATCGATACTACCTGTCATTATACTCATTTTAATGGTTGTCTCAATCACCGGATTGTCTGCTCCAGATTCAGTTATCTACATCATACAGTTCAAATATTGCTGAATGTGTTTTTGAAAACTAAACACAACAGATAGTCAATGTAAATCCCTGCAGGCCTTCTTTCACCTCAAACCCGTGAAGATCCGGGTTAGAATTGATCTTCAGTTACCCATGTTTTTTATGTCTAGTACATGAATATTGCAAGAGGACCTCAACAGCTGCCTTGTGGGCTGGCATTCAATGAAGCATGTTATGTAAACTCATAGCTCAGGGCAGGTTTTCATGGTTGGAGTCCCATCTACTTTCCATCTCACTTCTCTGGAGCTGTAGATAGTCCTTGAACATCATGGTTCATATCAGATGCCATCTTCGTGTTCTACTTGAGAAATGACTCTTGTTTGTCAGGTGTTATTAATCTTGTGCATGTTTATTGACTCTTAGATGCACGTTCTTTGTAGGCTGATAAATCATTCTGTAATGTTTTGGTTCTGTCAGAATTTGTAGTAACAGAAACAGATGTAAATTCTAAGAGTGAGTGAGTGAGTTTAGTTTTACGCCACACTCAGCAATATTCCACTTACATGGGGGCGGTGGGGTAGCCTAGTGGTTAAAGCGTTGGCTTGTCACGCCGAAGACCCGAGTTCAAATCCCCACATGGGTACAATGTGTGAAGCCCATTTCTGGTGTCCCCTGCCGTGATGTTGCTGGAATATTGCTATAAGCGGCGTAAAACCAAACTCAGTGAGTCCACCTATATGGCGGCGGTCTGTAAATAATCGAGTCAGGACCAGACAATCCCATGATCAACAGCATGAGCATCGATATATGCAATTGGGAACCAATGATGTGTCAACCAAGTCAGCGAGTCTGACCGACCGATCCCATTAGTCGCCTCTTACGACAGGCATTGGTTACTGAAGATCAATATTCTAACCCGGACCTTCGCGGGTCATAAATTCTGAGAAAGACAGTAGGTGAAAACTCTTAACACGAGTTAACTATATCAAAGCTGCCAAGTTAGGTTATGTCAGGAAGGTTGGTTTGAACATGTTGAAATTTGTATTGTTTTTGATGTAAGCATGTGTCTAAAATCTCTTTCAAGTTCAATTGATTTTTTCTGTAGTAATATATATTCTGGCTTATGTAACAGGAGTAATTCTGACAAACAGTTATGAATTCATAGAACAATTGTGAACTGGTCATGATAGTAGGCCGAAGAGTTGGGAATGGGGGCGGTGGGGTAGCCTAGTGGTGAAAGCGTTCGCTCGTCTCGCCAAAGACACGGGTTCGATTCCCCACATGTTTACAATGTGTGAAGCCCATTTCTGGTCCACCACCATGATACTGCTGGAATATTGCTAAAAGCAGCATAAAACTCAACTCACTCAGGATGGATGGATGGGTGGAGAGTTCTCACACTGTTTACTGTTCAGTTTTTGTCAAAAAATCCTTCGTCAATACTAGTTGTTTTGTCCAGGTATGGTAAACATGAATACCAATGCTTGGAAGTGTTTTCTTCAGTATTTTCTTTCAATGTTGTTAGACCAGCAACCATTGTGAGAATCAGCCACCCCCTCCCTTCAGAATGAATGACCAGTACTGAGTCTATGTCAGGACAATATATTTGAAGGATGGCTTACCTGTGGATGAGAATGCTAGTTCAGTGTAAATGTGACCTATGACATGCCCAAAACAAGAGAATGTCTGTCGATGATGATGATGATGATGATGATGATGATGATGATGGGGAGTGCTAAATTTATAGATACTAACCATAAACCAGCACACTCTCTGAGCTGAATACTAGTTACACAAGGAATTCATTTGCCTTGACAGAATAATACTTCTGAGAAATACTGACCATTACTCTTGCAAGTCAATATGCACACTTAGGTTAACAATACAAATGTAATACAGCCTTGTTAACATTCCTAAGAAATTATACCTTTTGCAAGTTCATTTTTTATGTCATCTCTTAAACTATGAACAATTGTACTGAAATCTTTCATGGAATAACAGACTGAACCCATTCATTTAGAAGATCAGGCTGAAACCATTTATGGGAGATAGTTCTGATACCATTAATGGTAGATAATGCTGAAAGCATTTATCAGAGATAATGCTGAAACCGTTCATCAGAGATAATGCTGAAACCGTTCATCGGAGATAATGCTGAAACCATTCTTGGAAGATCATGCTGAACTGATTCATGGAAGATCATGCTGAAATCTTTCTGGAAATTGATGCTGGGAGATCTTAACAGATCGTTACAAAACAAAATAAAACATCCATCCATCCATCCATCCATCCATCCATGCATCCGTACATACATATATTTCAAGAGTAGGAATGAGTATGTATAGACACACACACACATGCAATGACTCATTGTCATGACTATTCATTATATGAAGTACTTAATATTTCTTTGTTATTTAATCTGTTCATTTACATGTGATCATATCCACCATATGTTGTTTGGCGCCAGCCTATTAATTCATCTCATTTTAGTATCTCAGCATGTGGCTCAGAGAATATGTTCAGCAAGAATAGAATACATTAGCTGAAATAAAAACTGAAAATATTTAATTTAGTTCCATTTCCCTGATCATACTGATGACTAGTCATGTAACAATAATCAAGTTCAGTATTTAGTTGTTACTCCAAGTACGCATTATAAAGTGTTTTTCATGAAACAGATGTTTTATATTTGAAAACTAATCTTCAATATATCTACCTGCTGTTCAAATTACATTTGCAAGTGAAATAACTTGACTAATGTTGTTGAAAGACCTAAATTGGGATAGAAAATCCAAATATCACTCATTGTCATTAAACATGTTAATTATATTTTGTAATTATTTATGTTTTTATTTTTCCCAGCAGATGTTTACATGTGCATAAGTATATGTAGATGATAACATGTACGTGTATGCATAGATACATAGTATTGTGTATGAAATACAGCTAATACAGGTTTGAAGGCCTCTCATACTACTGAAGTCATTTCTACATTACCCATTATTTCTCAGCAAATGTTTACATGTACATAAGTATACGTAGATGCATATTATTGTTCATAATTGTATATGAACTACGACTAGTGCAGGTTTGACTGCAACTGGTAACGTGCAAGGCATAACTCACTTTTACATTACCCAAATAATTCCAAGCAGATGGTTAAACATGTTAATGATATGAGTATGATGATAATGATTTGTCAGGAGTAGATTATCAGTCACTAGTTTTTCTGTCCCAGTTGATTATGATGATATTGGTGTGATGATATTGCTGGAATATTGCTGACCACTTCATACAACAACAAACATGTGTTAGAACTGGAAACATTCAGACATTGATTTCAGTAACCAGTTATAGAGTAGTCCTCCACCAAGCTGTGGAGCATGTCTTCGTGACATCAAAACCAAAACAATCTAAATTAGGAAAAATCAAGTCTTGCCGGCTATGAGAAGAGTTGGAAGAATTACGTTGTATAATGAGTGAGTAAGGTTCAGTTTTTACGCCTCTTTTAGCAATAATTCTGCAATATCACTGCAGGGGACACCAGAAATGGGCATCACTCATTGTACCCATGTGGGTCTTCGTGCGTAACGTGCAAATGCTTTAAACACTTTGCTACCCCACTGGCCCTTTATTGTGAAATGATAGATTTCATAGACTGTATGTGGAAGTGATGAACTCAACCTAAGGTTGACAACAAGGGAAGACAGTTGGTCAGAGTCTTCATGATCACGAAGAACCAGTCACCTTTCCTTTTGAACTACCTTTTTCATTTGGTAGATGGCAACCTGGTAACACATAATTTTTGTAAAGAAACAGAGACACATTATATTTTAACCCTGGCCTCAAGGTCAAAGGTCGGTACTGAAAACTGCTTCCTTCTGATCACCTGCATTTTGCATGAAGTTTGAGTCCAGCTTATATTTTCCTTGTCCACAATCCTGAAAAGCCTGGAGCTGAAAAACAGGAAGTGGCATTATTGCTCTGCAGGTTCTTTCTTGGCCATTTCCGCTTTGTTGTATTGTAAACTCTGTTTAATGGCTGCTCTAGCATGTTCTCCAGACCTGGTCACACTTCAGTGAACAGAGGCATAGATCTGATGGAGCACTATACTGAGCACGTTGAGTGCTGGTGGTCATATAGTCTCTCTCACAGTCCCTGAACCACATTATTTTCTCTACTTCCTAGTCTTCCCTACAATGCTAAAGCACTAAATGAAACAAGTCTAGATTCCCTCAGGTTCAGGAATCCCTGGTCTCCCTAGGGCTCCTTTTCAATTTAAAAGGGTTTGTTTGTTACTATCAAAATTATATATATTTAGAGACTAAGCATTAGTCTAGTGGTCATGCAACTGGTAGTTTGGTAGGGATCTCTTCCAGTTATATCACTGTTTGTTAGTTAACGTGGAAGGGAGTCCTTAAGTCATGCAGATCTCAGACATTTACCAATTTGAAACCCTCCGACCACAGGTACGGTGGTGATTAACCATAAAACATTAGGGGGTGAACTGGGATTCGAACCCACAACCATAGATTTCTGGGTCCCGATCCACAAAGCATTCATAGCGCTATGGACCCGTGAAGATCAGGGTAGAATAGGTCTTCATCGTAGCATTCGTACCTCCTATACTATGACAGAGGACGTACGAATGCTACGAGAAAAGTTACGAGGCTTATAAGAGCTTTGTGAAACAAGGCCCAGGTGTGCAACTCTGTACAGCGAATTACAACGGCTTACATGTCTGAGCCACCTGAGACCCTAAAGGGTTATGTCACTGATGGTACAATAGTGATAAGTGTATTTATTTGTGGCATTTTAAATGAAAGCATGCAACAGGACTGCTTGTGTTTGTTAATTCTGCAATTTGTCCTCTGCTTTTGAAGTGTCAGTATGTTTATGTTGACGTGCATGTTCCAGGCTGGCTCTCCGGGAAGGAGGCACTCTTCATGGAATCCCTCACTGAGGAGGAAATCGGGGAAGACTGTGTCAATGCCCTGAAAAAGTTCCTCAAGAAAGATGACATTCCACCGCCCTAGCGAGTACTCAGGTGAGTTGCCATTGGCAATACTGTTTATGACAAGTACTTTGTATTTTACATAGAAGATATAGGACGATCCTTGTTAATAATTGAGCAGGAAAGTCTGGAGGTCAATGCCTGGATCCCTGCGGATTTCAGTCTGGTATTTCATATTTCTTCATTACACTTATTTTCAAGAATGCTTATCAATTTTTTAACTACAGCCCAAATAGCTTTAAATCCTTAAAATTCTTCCCATTACTGACTATAACTTGGTTTTTGTTATTAAACACCATGTAGAATATAAGAAGCCAGTCAGAAGGATGTAACTGTTTTAACAATATTTGTGTTGTGCATTACTAAGACCAAGGGACAAATTGTAAGTTTTGATTCAGTTTTGAATAGATTGGAAGTATGTAGATGTATTGTATGTCTCTTGTCAGAACGAGGTGGGGCAACAATCCATTTACCCGTGGCTCCTACAGCTTTGTTGCTGTCGGATCCTGTCAGAGCGACTTGTATGCTCTCATGGAGCCACTACAAGCACCAGGCATGGATAAGGTAGGTCCTTGTTTGTTAGTGAAGTTTTGTACCACAAACAGCAGGGGCAGTGGGTAGCCTAGTGGTTAAAGTGTTCGCTCATCACGCTGAAGACCCAGGTTCAATTCCCTACATGGGTACAATGTGTGAAGCCCATTTCTGGGGTTCCCCGTTGTGATATTGCTGGAAAATTGCTAAAAGCGGCATAAAACCATACTCACTCACTCACAATCAGCAATGCTCCTGTTCTACATGTTTAAAGTGAGTGTTTACAATGCAGTCAGTGGTACTGCTGCCCTACATGTTTGTAGTGAGGCACAGTGAACAATGCTCCTACAATGCTTGATTGTATAGTCCGTTTGGCTCAAAAGCGGACCGATGAATTGCAATCTAACTCGAAAACTAATAAACATAACATACTCAATGAAACGCTGATCATAATCAAAACATCATACCCACTCTGTGAGGTTTCTGCAGAATTTTTGTCCTAAAAATAAAAAAGTTGTTTAACAAACTATCATTAAAATATTGACACAGTTCACTGTTTGTTACGAGGGAGGAGTGCAGAGAAAGGGACAGCCAGGTGTTCGAGAAGCACGTTCACAGACAAAGTTATTTATTCATTAACCTGTGCTGTGCCGTCTCCATCCGTTCTCGAACACCTGGCTGTCCCTTTCTCTGCACTCCTCCCTCGTAACAAATAGTGAACTGTGTCAATATTTTAATGATAGTTTGTTAAACAACTTTTTTAATTTTAGGACAAAAATTCTGCAAAAACCTCAAAGAGTGGGTATGATGTTTTGATTATGATCTGCGTTTCATTGAGTATTTTATGTTTATTAGTTTTCGAGTTAGATTGCAATTCATCGGTCCACCTTTGAGCCAAACGGACTATAGTGAGTGACCACATTCAGCTGTTCCCTTGACTGGTGTGTTTGTAGCAAGTGAAGGATGCATTTCACTGTAGTCAGCATGCTACAGTCATATATTGCAGCCTGTACTTGATAAATGCTTGGCCAGGCAAACCATTTGTTGGTGGCACAAGCACTGAACCACTCTGTCAAGGTTAATAATACATAACCATCTTGGCTGCACATTTGGGCCACCTGAACATCATTTGTTTAGACAAGCTTGGAGTACTTTAACTGTCTGCCACTGTATAATTACAGGTCAAGGTTCTCTCAGTGTTAATGCAGGGTATCATACCTCAGGTCTGTCAAATATCGTGGACCAGTTCTCTAACACAGCTTTGTCTCAAACGCCAACATCTCTAGATCTCCTATCTCTAACTTACCATGGAATTTCCTGCACATGAGAGTCATTTAATAGTAAAATTTAGCTATTTAAAGTTTCACGTCGTCTGTCTATGATGGACCTGTGAAGATCCGGGTCTTCAGCAACCCTTGCTTGTTATAGGAGGCGACTAATGGGATCGGATGGTCAGTCCCACTGACTTGGTTGACACATGTCATTGTGTCCCAGTTGCATAGATTGATGCTCATGATGTTGATCACTGGATTGTCTGGTCCAGACTTGATTATTTACAGACCACTGCCATATTGCTGGAATATTGCTGAGTGCAGCATTGAACAACAACCAACCAACAAAACCTCTATGATGAAGACATATGATGCTATTTATTGTGGAGTATTGTGATTTCTGTGACCAATTTCTTTTGTTCTGCACTGACAACTGAGTCAAGGTTGAAATACACCCACGCTTTTGTTTGACTAAAGTTATTCTGTCGTATTACCGATTAAGATACTGAATCCTATCCTTTTTCAGCCCCAGGTGATGTTTGCAGGGGAAGCAACTCACCCATCATTCTACTCCACAACTCATGGCGCTCTGCTAACTGGTTACCGCGAAGCTCAACGAATCATCAATCTGTATACCCAGTGAATGCCACCGTCGTCAAGCTTCCTTGGCCGCATGCATCCCCGTGATCGCAACCCCGTGATGAGGACACGATCTTTCACTATTGATGTCATGTCATGTGATATTCATTGAGACTGGTATTGAATGCTTCTAGATCTCCATCACCCATTAGCATCTATGTATTGGCTTCATCCAAACTCCTCTTTGCGGACCCCGGGAGTTGATGAGTTGTATGATCATGGTAATCTGTTCATGAATGCGGTTCAAATCTGACTATTTTTCTTCAGTTGAATGTATGCTTACTAGTGTTCAAAGTTAAACATGTAAGTTAAGGGGTGTTTGACATTACACTCAAGTGAGAAGCGAAATCTTTATTGTTGACTTGATTCAATACCATAGACGACCATAGGAACCCCCTTAGCTTTGAATACTGCTTACTTAGATTTGCATCGGTCCTTCATGACGTGAATCATCTGAGTATCAACTGCTGCTGCTTCTCCGTAATTGGTCTAATTATCATACTGTGAATGAGTGACAAATTTGATAACCAGATAGAAATATTGGCTCTTCACAAGCAACAATTAAGTCATATCATTACACCATTGTTTCTGACAAGGGACCTGCTTGTTTCTCCAGTGAAACATCGCTGGCCATGTGGTTTACATATTCATCATATTTCTTCATTTCTACGGACCAGCTTGTTCTACAAACAAACAAGCTGTTCTACAAACAAGCTGATGATTATTTACAGTGAGACAATTATACACCTCACACTTATTACAGGGATCTCTATGATCACTTGTTTGGGGGAAGGGCACACAGCTGCAAAGTCATCTCCAGCACCACAGTTAAGCACTCTGTGCATCCCTTAGGTGTGCTGAATACCTATGATGTGGGTTCAGATCTTATTCACCCAATTATAATCCTTGGTTTGCCAATACCAATCCCTGGCTCGTGGGCTCAAAATGATGAACATCTTCGTCCTCGACTCCTCTCGCATCAAGCTGAAATGCTGTTATTAAGCCCAAATACTGTTCAAAGCAGTGTTGAACCAAACCCTCTCATGTCATTAACACTCGAGGACTCTTTAATCAATGTTGGGATTGGCATGGACATAGTCAAAGGAGCAGCATTAAAGCAACATAGTGGTATTATTCTCGTCTAGAAACATCATGCTATGAGTGTATGACCAGAATGATCCTAAACCATGCATTCAGCTTCATATATATGTATTGTCGTGTGTACATTTTTCCCACTTATTTTTAACTTATGTACTGATACAGTGATTCAAATGATTAAACAGAATTGTTTCTATAGTAGAAATTCTTATCTTAAGATTGTATAGATATAACTGTTTGTTGGACATGAACGTGGTACTGAATGTTAGTTGATGTGTGTGACCGACCCACTGCCAAATATAGAACCTTACATAGTAGCTAATCAGCTAAAGCTATGCTAAATGTGATAAAATATTTATTCAGGCCTAATCTTTCTAATACTTTGTATCAAGCATTCTAGGGAATAGTTATGTATTCAGTTACACCTCCATAAGAAATTAATAATTAAGTATATTGTCTGATTTTTATCATGTGTTAATGTTTTGAAATTACATCTCGAAGAAAATGAGTGGAATGCATGTCTAAATGTGTGTTATAACTAAATTATACTGTGAATATAGAGGCACTTTTGAACGATTTATTGTTTAGTTAATCAGTCAGTTGTTGCTGTTATAGTTCAATTATTTTATCCAGCTATTTTCCACATAGGACAAAGGTTGAACTCAACTAGCTACGCTAAATCATTTGAGGTTCACTGATTCCTGGTTCTGTAAACATGTTAGGCAGAAACACTAACTTCTGTCATTGCATTTACTAACTGCAGTAATTTGGGTTGACCCGTATTGTAGATAGACTGTTGTGTAGTTTCCATGACAACGAAATATCAATAATACTGTGAAAACTAATTTCAGCATGTTGTTTAGGATAACAACATGAGGACTACTCATTCATGTGATAAACATTGTGTTGTATCACCCAGATAACAATAAGTTTGGTGGTTGAGAAGCTATCAGGTACTTTGTTCCCAGTTTCCGTGCCAGTTCATGAAATCATCATCCTTGTTCATTTGCATTTATGATCTTGATGAAGAGTGTTGTGCTACTTCTTGAAATGCTGAACGCACAACTTTTTGACCAAATTGTTTCATGCATGCTTCTTTTATCAAGAATCATTCAATGACATTGTTCCCGAGCTTTAGCAATGTGTCATACTCATTGGTGTGAGATAGATGAAACTGGTAGTATGCATGTCTCTGAAGGGCTTTTTTCAGTTGTCATCTGCAAGGATTAAATTTGTTGATTTAGGATACAACCCAATGAACAGCAGCAAATTGCTTTATCATTGTCTCATTACCAAGCCATATACAGTGAAACCCTTGTAATCCAGATACTCTCTCACTCATTAAGGGGATGTTTACAGAAAGTCTGTATTTTATCAACAAAGACATTGCTACCTGTCTATGATTTCAGTTAGAAAGTTTTTAATTCTGAGCAGTTTCTTGAGATGTTCTGTCTGGTTTAACTGGGTTTCTCTGTAATTTTGTGGCAAGGAAGTCTGTGTTTTATTAATGTCCTACTCCACAACCTGTCCATCAACAACAGCTTCTGATAATGTCAGAGTTATGCACCAATGCTGTTACCGATTTCAGTAACCTGTCAAATGATATTGAAATGACAGTGTTACAGCTACAACTAATCTCTGATTGAAATAAGTAGTTGTACGTGTTCTACTTATTGTCTGGCCCTTGTTATGTAAACAGCAATAAGTTAGGATTCTGTTTCCATGGATTCATGGCCTTTTGTGTTTTACTTCTTTCTTGGTATCTGATCTCCTTTGAGTCTTGTTGAGTTTTGATCACCTATTCTTTTATTGTAGAACTCGCTCTTCATGTCTATGGTGTACTACAGCTTACGAATTATCATCAGAAATTAGTCCAGATTGTACACTGAACAAGAAGATGTTACATTTTAGCAAAGAAAATGATTGGGTATATTTTTAAGTTGAAATGTCTGTATGTATTGCTTGAGGTGAATGAAATTTTATCTTGTTATTTCTGATGACAATTTGACATTGATGTTTTTACTT